AGTTATTTGTAATAATAATAATAATGATAATAATAATAATAATAATAATAATAATAATAATAATAATAATAATAATAATAATAATAATGATAATAATAATAATAATGATAATAATAATAATAATAATGATAATAATGATAATAATAATAACAGTTTTATTGGACAGAGTACACCGTTACCAGACTGATAATTTTCGGGTGGTCCTCTGACTCTCTTGGGAGCGCTTGCAAACCATCAATTGCAAGCTGTTGTAATTTGTCATCAGATTTTTTCTAAGCGCACCTCTTCCATAATAAATGAAACAACCGTTYTAATTCTAGCAATTCTATCATTTTTACAATCTATCCATTTATATGTTAATAAGCAAAGCGATCAGTCTGTGGTTCGTTGTCTCAATATTATTGCATGTGTACAGTAATGTTTGGGATGAAGGGTGAGTGAAAACCGTAAAACCAAGGTATTTTCCAATCTGTTTTTGTTTTTTTAGTCTAATTAATTGATTTCCCACCGTTAACTAAAAATATTTTGTTAAATCCGAAAGAGTTTGTTAGTATCAACATTCAGTAACACATGGCAAATATATTTTAGTCATTGAAGTTGCAATACCCACCTAATACGAGTACAGCGTCTCTCGAGCTGTAACACAGCTACTACTTCTTGAATGGCGCGCGAATCTCAGAACTCTAGGCGTTGCGACTGCTTTTTGCCAATAGAGTTAGCACCCACGATGTCACCGTTAAGACAGGTCTCTAGGCTGCGTTCATAATATATGGTGGAGGGGGGGGGGGGGCAGGTGAAATCTTTAAATGACAAAACGATTCTTAAGACATCCCCTTGAAGTCCCCCCCCCCAAAATTTTTTTTCAACCCACTTCCCCTCCATTTTACTGGTAACAATTTTTCCGATCCCCCCTAAATTTTACCTCCTTCCCCCCCTTCTGCCATACATTGTGAACGCAGCCTTAGCTGGCACTGTTAAATAGTACCTGCGTATTATATTGTTCAGTGGTAATTTTTCTGATGAAAACTCTAGTGTTGACTTGTAAACCTGTCCTTTTTCAGGTGGCGGGAAAGGTGTAAGATTCTTTTCTATGTTAATTACAGTTTTAGAAAGCGTTCCTCACCCCTTTCGTTTGAGGACTAAACATGATGACCCTTCCTCGTCACTTCCCAGGAATCGGAGTTAGTCATTTTTGGTACTGATGCTAGACTTTCTAAACCCGTTGACAAAGCAATATTAAAATATATTATGAAATTAATAGAGTTTATGATTTTAAGTATTTAGGCGTTGTCCTTGACGATAGTCTTACGTGGAAAGATCATGTTCGTTATGTTGTTTCTAAGGTTGGAAAAAGAGTAGGTGTTCTAGGGCGACTTAGAAAGAACCTTACTATACATACAGCATATGAATTATACAAATCGTTAATTTTGTCCATTTTCAATTACTGTGATATTGTGTGGGCTTGCTGCAATAAAGCAGWTGTAGAAAGGTTAGAATCAATGCAAAGGCGGGCCTCGAGAATAATAGTTAGGTCCAAATCTAGTAATACGTGTGTTAACCAACTTAAGTTGCAAAGTTTTAGCCGCCGAAATACTCATATTTTGGGTTTAGTGAAGAAGTGTTTAAATAACAAAGTACCACAGTTCCTAAGGAATTATTTTAGATTGAATAAGGAAGTTGTCTCGAGAACCACGAGAAGAAGTGAATTTATATATTTGCCGTCAGTACGAACCGAGACCGCCAAGAAAGGCTCTTCTTATAATGGCTCATTAGTTTACAATAGTTTTATTTTAGAAAATAAGAAGTAAATTTTTATTCAATATTTTCGATATTGATTCTAGTATTTATATAGATAATTTTATTGTTAGATTTTTATTGTACCTTCATATATCGTTATATATACATATTTTTTTCTTTATATTGTATTTATTTTAGGGCTCCTTTTGATATCAGATTGCATTTTGTATATCTGACTGGATAACCCTGTGTAAATAAAGGTTTCTATCTATCTATATTCTCTGTTAAGCCCAGAGAGTGTACAGCGATATACACACGCGCACCGCGCACCGTTAATTTCTTGTTTTATTTCCAGCTTTGATCATAAGTTGGAGTATGCGGGCTTAGCCTCACTTCTGAGGTCGGTAAAAAAGCAGAAATCAGAATAACAGCAAAACTAGCAACCATTTGATTCGGGGCTAAGCCCGCACACTGGAGTTTTAGAAAGATGGCTTTTAGCACTTTTAACCCATTGCGATTAGTTTTGATTGGCCGAGATAACTGCAAATAACTGCCAACAAATAATATTCTGCCCATGCGCATCACAATGCAAAGCCGCAAATAAGTCTGCTCATGCGCAGTAATGTAGCGTTTGTCAATATCGATCGCTTGCGTCCTGTCCTGTGACTTGGTATGTTTGAGCAAAAACACAACCAAAGCACAAAAAAGAAAAAGAAAAATTTTTTTGAATGATAAAACAATTTTTGAACGTGGTTATCGTAAAATATCGTGAGCAGTAGAGCTGCATCAAGCTAGTGGGATCAGCGCATGATTTCGTGGATGATCGATAATGGGAGTTTGACAACAAGACAACATTAGTAAATGGTAGTTATGGTTTATTGATTCAAGATATTGTTACTGTTGTTTCCTGCAGGCAAAAACGAGGACGTATGAAACTCTTCTGTTGCTCAAAATAAAAGTTGAATATGTTTACTTTGAAATGAAACTAATATAAGCAATTCAAGCAAGTATAGGCACACAAACAAAACATGTCTCAAACTAGACTACTAAAATATGATACCTTTGACTTCCATTTGCACTAGTGTCTCTAACCTTCTCTAGGTGTCTAATGAAATAATGACGATGGCGCGTACGTTGTACACCGTTATATAACGGGTTGCTGCCAAATGGATGTACCTGCTGTTTTGTGTTTATAGTCACCTGAAAAAAGCCCCCAAAAGGTGAGACCGGAAATGATTAAATRTAGATAAATTTAACTAAAGTTCAACCACTTTACTATCGATGGACTGTCACATATCAGTTTTCAGTTCCAGTATAACCTCTTTGTATGCTGCAGTTTGTATAAACATCTTTATTCCTTTAGCATGAAATGTTTCCCATGTTTCTCAGTTGTCTCAGTTTGAAAGGTTTTTGAACTAAGATTATTGAAATAGGGAAAAGTAGGTTTTTTATTGTGAGGGCCGGGGAGGCCTGGGGGATTTGCAGTAAACTTTAAAAAATGGTTGTAGCCTCTCCCCTTTCACTCGATCAGTATAAAATTCATGACCCTCCTATTACTGAAAATTAAAAATTAAAAAATTAAAGAAAAAATTTCTTAAAATAAAAAAGGTTTGGCGCTACGTAAAAAGTCAAACTTTTAATAGTGATCCCTCCTTCTGAAGTCCCAGCTCCCCACACTGAAAACCTAAGGTCAAAAAAGTGAACCATGATCACGCACTAATTCAATAATCATCACGAGCTTCATGCATGATCAACACGTTCCCAATCTATCTTTAATTGTTGTTGTCGTCTTCATCTAAAGTACTAAGGGAATGCTGTTCCTATTTACGCAGTTTCCATAAAACACGTCTCTAAGAGGCGGGACAAAAGCAAGAAAATCAAAATTAAAAGGAATGCATGCAATGTTGATTGTCCGTTATAGATTCCTTGTCGTAATTATCCCTCATTCCTTTTCAGACTCACAGACATAATGATGATAATGATGATGGTAATGATCATTTACATTTAGTTTGTGAATGACAGATTGCAATATACAAACACGAGAGATGGTTAGTATGAAGTGGAGGCCGGGTGGTCACTGCCAGAGTTTCTTTACGTCCTCAGTGGTTCTTTTACGTCCCTCCGATGTTGGTTAGTAATGATGACTGAGTGTGGAGAGATGTGACGTGACCGCCATTTGAAGTGGTCATCCGAGCCACTTGAAAGTCTAACCATTTGCAGATGTAATTACAAAGGCAGCTCTTTCTCCTCAGTTATTATAAGACCCTGAGTGTTGGTCCGGCCGGGACCAACGAGGGAGTCTTTCTTCTTTAATCCGAGTAAGAAATCCGTGTCAAATGAGTGTGGAAGGGGGGACCTACGTATAATAAATGTAAAAGTCTGGACTTCAACTGGAACCCTACGAGGCAGGCATATTGGCACATGCATGGATATTAAGTTACCAGCTATAAATGATCTCTATATCGGTACGATTGCCAAAATGAATTTACTTGAATTTTACAGAAAAACACGTATCGTATATAATGCTGAGACGGATTTTGTTGATTGCTCACAGTGGAGGCCAGTGAAGGTCAATCGCATGCAGAGAGAAAGAGAGAAAAGGAAAGTAAACACATCGAGTTCCTGGAAGTCGCGGAAGTACGAGTCTTGAAGAAATCGTTTACGCGAGTCCTAAACAATAATAAGAAAGCTGAAACTACTTTCAATAAGTAAGGGTTTTTAGGCAATGAAAAGCATCAATTCTTTATTGAAAGATTTGTGGTAATTGCTAGCTGCCAACAACATGATCTTGGCCATAAATAGAAACAATAGATCTTACCCCAACCTGTTAAACAGGCCCATACAGATGTTTAGTACCCGGCTATTTTGATCACGAATAAATAAAAGATCGTAAAAAATGAAAACCTTTTTATAAACTACGCATTATCAGGTTCCTGCTAGCGTGAATGTGGATCTCGTGCAAACACCGGAACAATCGACTAAAGAACCGGAATCGTATCTTGTTATAGATTCTTGTTATAGATTCTTGTTATTCGATAGTCAAGTTATGACTGCACAAGTATTTCAATAGTTTCGGAATTCTGCTTTCACATATGCGCATTTGATGAATCTTTTTGCTTAATTGGCATGTTCTATAAACAGCAACGTGACTTCCTTCTGACTTTACTATACAATGATTAATCAGTATTGTTATTTTTACAGTCGGGGGGTAAAATTAGGGCTCACGTAGACTGACACTGATAAGGTTCACGAGACTACAATCACAGCACAATCAAGAGCCGGTTTACATTTATACCTTTGTTATGATTTGATGTGGCAAAAGAGAACTGAATCGATATATAAAGAATATAAGAAGATTAGAGTAGAAACTAATATGTAGGTATTGTGTTGTCTAGTTGTCTGATTACTCCTATATCCCTTCTTTATTTCCAGTTTTGACATGTTCTAATGAGTAGAGTTATTACCGCCTTGTGCAAGGTACAAATACCAGTACATCATTTGTGTGTTGTCTATTCTTATTGGCTGTTGATATGTAAATAATCCTATGACGTAACGTGTTGTGGTTCAAAGGTTCCTTGGCGCGTAGCATAATAACAACACAACACTCGAATATCGTTTCAGTTGGCATCAGAAGGCGGGAAGTAAAGATGATTTCGTCGCTAGTAAGATTGGTTTTACTTGTTTACATCGTTGGTGGCTGCTTCCCTTTTGTTTTGGGACGCAAGAAAAAAGACACATCGAAAAGGTGCAGCAGTGGTTCAAACACAGATTCAACTATTGCAGTGAAAGTATCTATGGATTCCATTGATAGTATGTCCGTTGACGAACCTTCGACATGGACACCGCCTCCAAAACACAAACGTTTTCGAACCATCTCTACCATGTCTAAAGCTTCGAACTTTTCTGGTACTTCCAACATTTCCAATCTAAGTGAAAGAGATCGAGTTTGGTTACAAGCCTTTCGATTTGCTGGAAGATGATGAGCTTGAAGAGGAACTTTTAAAGATGAAAATGAAAACACAACAGCACACACACCAGGAATTTTAGTGATGACTGAGTGAACATACACGGCATTCTTCGCTGGAGAAATCAATCTGCACACTTACTTGGCTTCCCTCGAACATTTTTGTCTGTTTCAAGGGATTCTTGATTCATTTTGTTTGAAATCCATTGACTGTATAGAACTTTTACGACTAATTTWAAAAATAGTTCCTGTCTGGATAGTTTGTTACTCAAGACTAGATGATGGATATAGTTTTTAATTCCTAGAATATTATAGAAATGAAAAAAATTCATGCATTTTGTAAAGATATATCATGATAGAACACAGATATTTAAATCATAGATTCGATTTGCTTTTCGTAGAAAGGCGAGTAGTGGGTGTAGGGCCTGGAGATTGGAAGATAATACTTTTGTTGTAAATATATGAGATTATAGTTTTTCAAATTGTACATTTGTAAGAAAATGTTCTTTTTTATAAAACGATGTACAATATGTCTTGAATTTTTTGAGAAATAAATGTATTTATTGAATATTTTACTGCAAGTAGTGTTGTTTTGTTTCCCTTCATTGGTGTTACGTATTAAGCGTGAGAATTTTATCTGTTTACGTTACATAAACCTTTATAGAATGCAGAAAGACGCCTCCGTTCAGTTCAGCACAAATCAAGATGTAAAATTCTACCACAAATTCTACCAAAGAAAGCGGTAAAGAGTTCGGATGAAAAGAAACGAAACAGAATTTTCGAATGATATTTCCTTATTTATAGGAATAATATATTTCTCAAGCAAGTCAAACTGCTATTAAGAGCATAAAAAGTTATTCTCGGGTACTCGTACCCGTTAGACTAAACTATGGATCTATCTTAATATATGATTTGTTTGGTCTCGTGTAGATCTTGTGATATGGACGCGTATTACTTATTTATCAATGAATTGGCGGAGAGCCACTATTACTATCATTTTCCGCATAGTTGTAATTCCCCGATGGCGGGGAATATACTGAATACAGTGTCATATGACTATCATAGTCTATCAGTCACTTGTAACCGATCACCGCATCGGTGGTAACCATACCGGAAGTAAACAAAACATTCATTGTTAGTTACAGTGTTCTCACGGTCATAATTGATGAAAGATACTGGGTACTATGATGCTAATCCAAGATGGCGGCTTGTCTGGAAGAACAGCAAGAAAGCAATATGAATGAAAAAAGATTACATAATATGTTCTTAAAGATTGCAAGTAGTAACGTTATTGTGAAAACACAACAAAAAGATGAACTAGACTTTACTGTGGAGCAGAAATTAGACATCTTGAAAGACATTTTAGAGAAAAATCCAGCTACTTTTCTCATGCGCTTTGGGCAGTGTATTTCAACAGACGACTTGGTGTATTTTGAGAACCTTGATATAGAAAAGAATAATTTTGAACTGATGTTCAGGATAAAAGAAGTTAAAAATTTGCTCGATGACAAGAAAAAACATGTGCATGTTCAAAACCGTAGGTACAAAGCACTTCAAAGACTTATGACGGGCTCAAACTACTTCGATGAAAATGAGATGAGAAGAAGAGAGCCACTTTTATATGAGCAATATATAGGACAGTACATGACTGAGGACGAAAAACTAGAAAGGGATAGAGCAGAGCAATACAGAAATTCTACTTTATCTGACGTTTTGCTACAAAGATTTGATTCGCGGGAGACGGAGTGGATATTTCAATGTCAAAAAGAAAGAGAGGAGGAAGAACGTGTTGAAGAGGATTCTGATACTGATAGTGAGACTGAACATGGTAATATTGAAATATACGAATCTATCATTCATTATAGGTCAATTAGAGGCACTTCCCTTCTCATTTGAATTTGGTGCAACAGAAGTTTTGTCACAAAGTTTTGTCGGTTAAATGTTGTCAGGGGCAACCTCAAAAGTATTTATAGTGCAAAATGCAAAAGTATGACCTATGATAATGTATTTGCATACTTTTATGCACAGGCTCTTGTATGTTAAACCGACACATTTTGGTATGAATGTGGCTGGTTTTACCAAATGAGACATGTACAAGCTCATTTGGCAGGAAATTAAAGCGCACACATAAAAGTATGCCAAAAACATTGAATGTGGTCATACTTTCCTGGCATTAAAGTGAGGATATGATTATCAGTGTTGTTGCCCCTGACAACATGCACATTTCACTGGAGAAAAAAATGTCTTTCAAGATGTCTTATTTCTGCTCCAAAAACTTCTTGACTACACTTCTGGGCCCAGGGCCAGGTTGTTCAAAGCTGGATTAGCGCTAATCCTGGGTTAACTCTTAATAAGACCTATAGAGTTAATCCTGGATTAGCGCTAATCCAGCTTTGAACAACCTGCCCCTGTTGCACCAAACTCAACTGAGAAGCATAGAAAGTGTATAGACAGACCTCTTGTGCTAAATATCTACTTGGGGGTCAAACAATGAATAATCATACAGCTGTTTCAAAAAAGGCCTGAATTGCACTACGGGTGGTGTGAATGCAATCAGCAAAAGGTTACAACAAGATGGAATTTCCCCAAACTTTGTCTGCGTGTTTTTTAGCAATTTTTTTTCTTTACTGATATTATTTGTGAACATACTAGTATGAATATAATAAATTCCAAGCTCGGTAAGCAACATGCAATGTTAACATGTAACTAAACTGCTTCAACCTTTTTTGAAATAGCTGTATTACAGCCCATTTCATGTTTCTGTGTCCTACCAACTCCAGATGTATATCATTTGCAGGCATCCCAGCCACTTTTTAGACAAACTTGATAGGAAATATAGGCTGTGCAAGTTCTAAATATAGGAAAATATAGGATTTTTTCCCAAAAATATGTGCACTTTATAGGAGCTAAGATAGCTTTTCGGTTGCGTAACCAGGAATCGGGAGGGTGCACAGGCAATGATTTGCAGAACTAAAAAGCCATAAAAAAAACAGAACCCCCCCCAAAGGGGCCATTTTATTTCCTTCGCCAAATATGCTAAACAGTGTAAAATATAAATGAATCACTCAGCAGTTGTCCTATTTATAGAAAATATAGGAGGTTTTCTTTAAATATAGGCTCTTTATAGGATCCTTTACAAATTATAGGAAATATAGGATATATAGGAGGTCTGGGATGCCTGCATTTGACTTCCATCAATCAAGCTTACGAAATTCCTGCAACTCAACAGCAATTTTCACATTGCTATAAACATGGCTACAAAGTGCCAATAGTATTGGAGATCAGAACAATATTCTTCAGAATGGGAATTATTGCAAGCAGTTTATATATGTACAATTTTAATGTGTATTTTCAATCGTTACAGATTGTGTCACAAGTCCAATAAAAGGCATTCCAAGTGAGACAGAAAGACAGCTTCTGAAAGATGAGTTCCTCAGTGAAATGCAAGCAAAGTTCCTTGCAGGTCAAGATGAGGGATTTGATTATACTGAAGTAGACATGAACGATGATTATGATGATTTAAAACTGCGCGAGAGGGATGAAGAGGAAGCATATTTTGATGATGATGATGATGATTACAAGGATGATGTAAATGAATCTGAAATGAAAGAGATATAGATCTAGCCATATATTCAAGGTATTAACACAGGCAAAGTCTACTGGCGGTCAAAGACTATGAACTAAATCTGATGACTAGCAAGGCAAAGGCATTCACCTGTAATGTCAACAGTGGTGCAAGTACTGTAACCAGGGCTACTTAAACAAGTTAGATAAGAGAACCAATTAAAATGTAGAATGAAAACAATGCATTCCAACTTTGGCAAGCCAATCAGAAACCTAGACTGCATGATAATAATTAGACACTGATGTTACGTGTAAATAACTACTGTACATGTAGATAGCCATCATCATTTTCTCCTGGGAATGAAAAGATATGTCAAAGGGCCATTGTTTTCTGCTGCTTTCTGAGTTTCAAAGTTGGAATGTATAATGTTTTTATTATAAAATTGGATTGGTTCTCGCTGTGTAGGTGGCCCTAGTTATAATAGTTGCATTTATTTAATATAAATCAACATGCCCAAGTTTGATACGGATTACTGTTTATTGGATTGCAGTTTATCACAATATATATATATGTATAATATTATGTATGAATGCTCCTTCATCTATTCTCTCTAAGATATTAACAGATTACAAAAATAACATTGCAAATAAATAAATTGATTACGGATATAAATTTTGAAATAAAATTCTTCATAAATCTTCTTCCCAGGATAGCTGTACACTTCTCTTCCCATTAAGGGGAAAAAAGCCAGGTCATCAAAGAAAAAAGTGTGCTATAATTTTTATACATGGTAATTTTGTGTCTTATTAAATTAAAATCACTTGGAATTGAAATATTTTTTTGTGTGCTTCATTTTGTGTGTGTGATTGTTCCCTGCTGAAAGATTGAGTCTCATTTTCTTTTTCTTTGGCTGGATCTGCATTTACAGTATTTGTGAGATCTACCAAAAGTAAAAGAAAAGGAGAGTCTGCCATCAGGGAAGTGTGATTGTGAGTTGATCTGTTGATGTTTTATTTGTATTCATTTTGTTACAAGTTCACATTTCTTTGGTGGAGTGCAAACCCTAATAGCACAAAATCTAAATAGCACTAAACACATCTACTTCTTTAGTTTTCATTGGTGCTTTTTTGTACAAATTAGTTAGTACTATTTCATGGATATATATGGTTTGCACTCTATATAGTTTAATACAACTCTGTGCATAGGTAAGGGAACCATCTGAGGCCAATATATTATTATATATGGGAAGTATATTATGCAGTGTATTATGAAGTGCATTACGAGTCACAGCAGTCTTTAACACTATCCTAAATGTCTTAACGCTGTAACATAAGAAAGGGTTAGAGAAATACAATTCTACTCAGTCCCTTCAAAGGCCAGGGCACAAAATTAACCCTTGCTAACTCGCAAAATGCCAATGAAATTATTTATTTAGTGAGTAAGAAAGATTTAACAAGCTAAGTTTTGTGAGTATGACCACAGTCCAGAAATTGAACGACTGAAAAAGTTTAGAATCTGCATAAAGTAACGTTTGTCTTTTGCTGGGATTGACTGCTAGTGACTTTGAAATTTTTGCTAGTTAAAACAAAACCTACTAGCAAGATTTTGCTAGTGGGTTTAAAAGTTAATTTTGTGCCCTGAAGGTTTAAAACAATCTGAATATGGTTTTTGGCAGGTTTTATATTGCCTATATAACTACAAATTTCAATAAGTGAAGACACTGGAATACAACTGTCATTTCCCAGAAATATATACTTTTTGGACTCAGCTTCTATGTTCTGTGTTTTGAGCCTTGGATTAATTTTTGCAATTACTTAAAATTGCAGACATCTTACTTTATTAAAAGCAGTAAATTATTCTTTCTAATAGCATTTATCTTTTGTTGTTATCGATTCTAGCTTCATCATCTGATCCTGACAGTTCTGGTAATAAATGAGAAAGAAAGTTTGAGTAAACAAACCTATGCATTAAAACATTTATACAAGAGTTCCTGAAGCACAAATCCCCCCCCCCCCCCCCCCCCCCCCCCCCATGTTAAACCTACCCACTAAATAACCACTATGCTACCTACGAGAAACTTCAAAGTCATTCTGCTTGTAGAGTTTTTCTGCCTTCTCTACTGGCTTAACACCTCTGTCCTGAAACAATTTTTCCTTTTAAAGAAACCACCTCCAAATGAATCACATGACAAAACAGTTATTCTGAATATGATGTCACATGAGCATGAAATCATGACAGCATTATTGCTCACCAGATGTGTAATCTATTTAAACTTTTTAAACAACCAGATACATATATTATAGTTGCATTAACCAATTACAAAAATAGGACATTAATTTTCAAAAAATTAAGCATGCTTGGCTGACAGGTACAGTATATCAGGAGGTCCAAAAATACTTCACTGTTTCCAAGGATACTGTATGCTTAACATGAAAATGACCGTTTCAGGGCAGAGGTGTTTTTACTTTCCCGACCAGCCTGCCACTTTGCCCTACAGAGGGGAAGGAAAACAAGCTCTGCTTCCAGGGTACTTCTAGATGTACCTAATGCTTGATATAATACTTTCAGTATTGGTTCTACATAAAGTGAATAGTTGAATGTTGTTATACTGCATATCTTTAATTTGAGTGTTGCATTTGAGTTATCAAGGATTATGCTTCGAATAACGTTAATGACTAATGAAAACAAGAATGCCAAACGAACATATCACCACTACTTCATACCTCTAAATGCTGAACCATTAACAAAAAGAGGACTTGTAGGTGATTCTGGTTCTGGACGAATCCATTCCTTGGGTAGACATTTGAGAAGGAAAGGAAAGTATGACCCTGCATTTGCTAATCTATTGACCCAGCCAGGAATGTCCTTTCCACATAGAACCTAATAATGTAATACAGAAAGTGATCAATTCATTCTTAGATTAATACTGCAGTTCAGATAATCCAATGTACAGTGATCAGGGAAAAAATTTATGCTCGCAGAACTCGCAAAATGCAGTTAAAAATTTTGTATTTGGCGAGTGACAAAAAATTTAACTAGGTAAGTTTTGAGAGTATGACCACAAGCCGGCAATTTAAGGACTGAAAAGTTTAGATCATGCATCAAGTAACATTTGATATTCACCGCGTCCAATCACTAGTGACTTTGAAATTTTTGCTAATAAGAACAAAACTTACTAGCAAGGTTTTGCTAGTGAGTTTAAAAGTTACAGTAATTCCGTGCCCTGGTGATGTTACATACCTGACTCAATTCAGAAGTAAAATGATTACAATTTCTATTAAAAAAAAAAAAAAAAAAAAAAAAAAATTAAAAAAAAAAAAAAAAAAAAAAAAAAGAAAAGAGTTAAGTTACATATAATCAAAAGGCAGTAACAATAAACTAATAACAGAATAATGCATATATATTAGTATAAAATATTTACTTATCAATCAAATGATATGAAACTCCAGTATAACGTGCACCCATTTCTCTGACTATATCATTTAGCTCCTCTTCAGTTATCTCTGTAATCCCTAACTTTATTGACTCTCTAACATGAAGAAGTATGGAGAATATTTATCAAAATTATATCTCGTAATTCGTCAAGTTCATTGAAAATATGTTAACAGCCTATCCTTTCCTTCCAGACTCAGTTGTCAAGGGAATTTTTCCCCTGCCCTGTTTAGAGTAGCACCTGTTGAGAGAACCAAACCCTCCCTTCCCACACATCCAGGACAAGGGAAAAACCTAACACAATATTGAGTCTAGAGAGAAAAGAGCATACATTTGTTAACAGTCTAGTTCATCAATATTGAAAGAGAAGGTTTTGATTATTTACCAACCTGAACTTAAATTCTGGTCCTAAATGATCAGAACTCCTTGGAAACATATCAAAAATTCCTGACCATTCATAAGGATGTCCACCATATGCATATTCTGAAATCCAATATTCATTTAAAAAAGGTTAATTATTGTACGTAAAAAAGCAGATAATTGTACAGGTTATTAAACAAAACCAAAGATGTATTGTCTAATAGGCCGGCATTGTCTAATAGTACGGCTTAGCCATAATGCTTTCCTGTTTCAGACCACGTGCCATCCACTTGAGAATAAGATTCTTTGTTTAAGTTTTTTCCATGGTTTCCAATGGTTCCACGTGCAACCATTAAACAAAGAAATTATACTCTAGGGAATGACACATGCTCTGACATGTCTCTTTATTGGGTTCATGTCTGAGTGAATTCTTAGTTTTTTGACAATAATTGTTAATCATTAATTACTAAGTTGATAACTAAATAATTTTTTTAAGCACTAAACAGCCAGTGATATTATGCACTTGTCAATGTCTTGCCCTGGGGGGGGGGGGGGGGGGGAACCCGGGCATACCTGGGGAATTTGACATTTTTTCCTTTCCCTGGGGTTGGAAATTTCACGATATTTGAAATAGCATGAGTGTCCGTGGTGGGGGATGTTTGATGTGGCCGCGCAAAAGCCTGGATCTAGCTGGCCGCCATCTTGAAAATGTTTTTTATCCAGTTTAATTATACGGAGTGGCTATTCGTACGTCACATATATGGCGACTTCTATTTGCTATTTGTACGGGAGTCAAAAATTTCATCGATTTTCTCCGGAACTTTTTATTCTTTTCTGACTTAATAATGATATTTTTGTTTAGACCAGTTAGGCGCTTCATATCAGTGATGTTATTTTGATTCAAACTTATTTGCCGAGTTTGTACTCAGTAGCGAGCAACTCACTAGAATTTTTTCATTAGTCTGAGGGTCAGTGTCACGGCGGGAAATGTCACACAATAGAATTACTGACGACTCCCGTACGAATTATTCGCCGTTGTTATTCGTACGGGAGTCTGTTAAGCAAATATTTTCCAATATTTTTCACTCACGTACGAATAACAACCGCGAATAATTCGAAGGGGAGTGAAAAATGTTGGTAAATATTCACTGAACAATCCGTTTGAGGAATTTCAACGTAGCATCATTTCAACTCCTGGGGAAGGGGTATTTGACATTAGTCACTGTCCCTAGGGCAGGGAATTTGACAATTAAAAGAGTGCAAAATGTCAAATCCCCCAGGTATGCCTGGGGTCCACCCCCCCTGGGGCAAGACATTGACAAGTGCATTATTGTTTCATGGACATATGGGCTTTTTACTTTTTTTAAGGGACGGACCATTAGATTTTTGAGGGGGGGGGGGGGGGGGKGGGGGATTGGGCAATTTATTTTGTGCAGGATTTCTTTTTACGCCTCATGGCTGTGCAGGAATTTTTTTGGGACATAGTTTGCATTTTTTTTTTGTGCACTTTTCTTATGCACGATTTTTTTTTTCAATCTTTAAAGCTGTGCTCGAATTTTTTACTGTATGACCATGAGTTTACCTTTCATGTTTTCATACACTGTAAGATTCCTATCCGTCATGAAACCTCTCCAGCCAGAAAGAGTCGGGTTTAAATTCGTTTTCATATTAAGTCCAAACAAACTTACCCTTTCCATGAATAACGACTCCAGAGTGAAACACCCCAAGTCCAATATTAAAAGTATAGCTGTTTATCCAGTACTGTGAAAAAGGAGAACATTCGGTAAGTTTAGTGGTAAGATTAAAAATCAAGTGAGGAAAAGGGCTGACAAAATGGCTTTTTGAATCTCAACTATTAAATCGTTACCATGTCATAAACATTCAAAAATACTGGATACTGAGGCATCGTAAAAAACGACTGAATCTAATATCAATAAGTTAATTCGAATTTATGAAAACTAAACGCCAAGATTTCGAGATAGAAAATGGCGATGGAAGACGGATATCCGCCATGATGAATAGGCACATACTTTATGTCACTCAACAAACAACGTTCATTGTTCAGTCTTCGACGCATGCGCTGTAAGATGCACAACTTCATTTTCCAATACTGTTCACGGCCCTTAATTATACAGCTTCTCATTAATCCCATATAAGTAACTGTACAATTATTTTCTTAATCATATCCTTTAATTTTTTTAGATGTTTTTTTTGTTCGCATTTAGTTCTTCTACTACATTAAATTGATTATTCTGCACTCTTTATTGTGTCTTTTTCTTGTGTATGATTACAAAAAGGATATGATTAAGTGGTAACTGAACTTCGTGTCGTGCAATTTTGGACCAAAATCATACTTGTGATTAACAAATTGCACTCCTGCTGTGCGGTCATGCTATTTTGTAATCACTTGTATGATTTTGGTCCAAATTGCACTCCACTCAGTTCAATTACCATTATTAATTGGACAGGTCTTTTTGATATGGGATTAATTAGGCAGCTATATAATTAATAGGTAATGGGATTTCATGCTCTCCAATCAAGAAATAATTAGACTCAAAAAATTCCTCTGACTGCCAAATTGGACTCGGCCTACGGCCTCATCCACTTTTGGAAGTACTCGGAATTTTCCTCATCCAATTATTTCTTAATTGGACAGCATTAATTGGACAGCATGGAGTCCTATTACATATACTAATTAACAACTTATGCTACCCTATTGCACTAGTTTATTTCTATAAATGAAATATTAAACTGTAGTCTTCTTGTAATACTGACCCATTTTCCATGTTTTGCTATGTTTTGGTGTTCCTGCCTTGATATATGAGATTTTATTATTTTATGAAAACCAAAAGTTCTAAAGGCCTGTTTGTTAGGCTTTGATAGGAGATTCAGATGGAAACATGTTTACATGTAAGTGGGATCTTGCCTATTTACCAGTCATAGTTGCTAATGGAAAAGATTAAAATACATTGCTATCAAGAGGCTTTTTCACACTTTTTAAAAGCTCACACAAGACCAATTTGTGAAATGGATTGTTTTTTAATGCGTTATGAAATCATCATTCCCACATACTGTAGTATTTATGACCTCATAGTTCAAAAATATCAATTTGTGAAATGGACCATTTCTAATATGTGATGATGTCATCACGCCCACATACTGTAAAATTAATTTATGACCTCATAGTTCATAAAAATTAAAAACAAGAGTGCACTTGGTCGGTTTGACCCAAAAATAAGCTAAATTAAAGGTTAGATGAATTGGAACAAAGTTAAGTATGGGTTTTACTCTATGTTTAGAGATTGGGAAAATATTTAAATTTAAATTTTAAGCGCAAAAAAAAAAAAAATTCCTTAGGGGTTTTGTTTTTAGGGATCAGTTTTCCCTTTAATAATTAACTGCATGTAGTCCTGTGGCTTTAGACAGAGTTAGTCTGGCTGCATGCAGGCTAATTCTTCTTTCGCCAATAAAAAATAAGAAAAGTTGCAAGAAATAGACACTAATTGCAATGAAAATTACTGGAATATATTTTAATGGCACTAGCATTCAAATTTACAAAGATTTTTACACTGAATGTCTGTCCTGGTAACAAATAAATCTTGAAGATGGTGTTAGGTTAAGGTTGTGTGTTCATAATGAAGGCAACCAGGGGCATATAGCCAGGGGTGGGTCAGGTTTTTTAAAACGGGGTGAAGAGGTGATTGTTAAAGGTTACTACCACAGGAAACCCATAAAGGTGAGAACATGGTGAGAACATGGCAAATTGCCCTACTTCATAATAATATCACGGTTTGTTTACATCAGCTAAATTTTTAGAAATTTAGGCTAAATTTAAGCTTAATTCTCTTCTTTCGAGATATTTAGCACAATATTTAGTTGTTCTTGCCTTCACCAGCTCATAAACCAAATTTCATTGTGATTTAAGWTGTGTTGTTKTCATTCCATCCCCCTCCAGCGACCATGATCTCTAGAGTTAAAACAATAGTTTGTTTTGATGTGACGTTATTATGAAATAAGGCATTATCAGAAATTAAATTTGAGAGCTTCAAGTAAATTGAGTGAAAGTTTATACAGATAAATGTTTTCAAATATGAACCCATTTTTCCAATTTGTGCAAAAAAATGAAGATGGCTATAGCATACTAATGTGTGATAGGGAAACATTGGTTATGATGGTTTGATTGACACTAGCATTACTGTAACATTATCTGAACTTCCATTCCTAATGGCATCACTTGCAATACTGTCACATGCTAACTGGAACTGATATGATGCTGGGTCCATCTTCAGATCATCATTGACATCAGCTATGTACAAAAAATATATACCACAGTTAGTATCTTATATTTTTTCAGAGTTGAAATGACTGTGGAATCTTTTAGTGATAGCAATGACACACAAAGGCTATCCTCAGCATAGGTGAAATGTCAAGTCTTGTTTTGCAAAGAAAACTTGTTATTTCAAAATGGCACGGGAAGCCCAATCCACTCTTATATATAGTTTATCACATCACAATTTGTAAGTTCACTCACAAGTCATGAATCAGTATATAGTTACTCATGCATAAATACCTTTATCTTTTTCTGACTTTTGTTGAAGAGGTGCTGTTTCATTCTAGAAAACAATAAACTTGGTCAAACACTACCATCAGATTTATCACTGAATCCTTTAGATAGATACCATATTAAAAAACATTTCAATTGTGATGTTAATATGTCAACGATCTTAATTATTAATAACAGTAGTTTCTGTCAGTTTGCTTTGTTCGATTATCCAATAGGTTTCTAGTTGGCAACTCTAAATGTTGACTAATAGACTACCAGAATACACACTGGTTAGCACAGGTGGGAGGTCATGGGTTCAATTCTCGACCAGACCAACACTCAAAGTTTCTTATAATATCTAAGAAGGTGCTGCCTTTATAATTACATCAGTCTGCAAAAGGTTAGATCTTTATATGGCTCTGTTGACAAGCAGTGTTTCTCTGCACTACCTCACCTAGCATTATTACAGAGTCCTGTTTGCACTTTCCGTTTTGGGTAGCATGTTAGTTCTGTAATTTTCCTTCCTGATTGATACCCAAAAAAAGTTGTAAAGGATGTAAAAGAACCACTGAGGATGTGAGGAAACCCTGGCAGTGATCACCCAAATATTAAAATACATACATTGATAATATTATGAATGTACTTCACAGCACTATCCACTGAAAACCCTTTCCACAATCCATCGCATGCCAAGAGAATAAACCTGTGGAAAAAAAACTGTTAGTCTAATCATATATATTCAACATATTATCTTCTGAATCAGTTGACATCAGTTTGTAAGGGTGCCAGTATGTGAAAGGTAGTGGTTTGAGTCCTGGCAGGATCAACACTCAGGGTCTTAAATGAACTGAGAAGGTGCTGCCTTCGTAATTACATCTGCAAATGTTTAGACCTTCTAGCCTTCTTAGAGAAGGACTTAAAACTGTAGGTCCCTGTCTGTATTCACTAAGACCCTTTATGAGACAGCCATAAAAGACCCTATGAAGACACTGGTGATGACCATCATAAGAGTCTGTGCTTATAGTCACTAGTAATTGTTTAAAGTTTTGTGGTGTCCCTGTCCTTATGGGAAAAGTTAATAAAATAAAATAAAAATCTCTAATACCAGTTGGTAAAAGCATAGTTAATAGTGGGGAATGGTTAGGAAACCTATTGTTATCAGGTCTTTGTTCACTTTTGATGTTGAACCAGTCTTGACCGTGCACAATGTTTGATTTTATGCTCATCCGAAATTGCAAAATAAGTAATAAGATAAACTTTGAAAGAAATATTCAAATATCTCTTATAACTCTTTAAGTATTTTGAACTAGCAGCCAAAAGAAAGATTTTGGTCTGTTCACTCAGCCATTGCCAACAATGGGTATAACAATGGTAAAACAAAGGATTGTGCACGGTCACGCTTGAAAAGACCTATAACAAAAAAGACCTATAACAAAAAAGACCTATAACAAAAAAGACCTATAACAAAAAAGACCTATAACAAAAAAGACCTATAACAAAAA